ACTGAGATGCTGGATCTGCTTGGCCTATATACCAAATTTTTAAGCTATTTTTTTATTTGTTTCATTTAATTCGGTTTTATTATTTCTATCCTCCATGTTCCTTGCTGAGTGTTCTGCAATGTCTAGTGTTTCCTGTTATTCTTCCCAATTTTGTCTTCTTTCCTGTGATGGTTTTGGTACTTTTTCCTGAACTCTACCAGCTCGCACTCCATCTCTCCTTGTTGACCATTCTTTCTTTAGTTCTTGTATTTCTTCTTTGTGATCTTCCTTCAGAGTTATTGCTTCATTACCTTTGAAAATTTCTGGTAAAATTTTAATCACAATTTTCATTTGTCTTTTCGTTTGGCCTCATTTTTCTAGTGATAATTTTTATTAATGAGCATTGCTGCCCTTTCTTTTAATTGTCTTTGTTTAATGTCGTGTGAATTGCTTCTTTACTAATAATCTTCAAATAAGTTGAATTTTCTTGACCAGCTACTTGCAGTATGGGATGCAGCGAGGATGCTCTTCCAGTGTAGCTGCCACCGAGGGAGAATGCCTCTTGAAAACGTTAATATCCATGTGGCTTTGCTCCACCAGCCTTGCTCACCAGTTCCTGCACTTACTGTCGTAAACAGCGGATGGAGAGTTTGTCTCCCCAGCCTTCAGGAAATGTCGTCGTGCTGGTTTTCCTGAAATCTCCCCGTGCTGGGCCCTCCATCCACGTTCATGCTTTACACTTCATCCTACTTGGCTTCTGCCCAATTCCAACTGTTTCTTGTTAGCCTTTATATATATATTGAAATCTAGAAATATGTATCTCCTAATTTGCCAAATATAAAGTTTGTGAAATCTTTTCTTTCTTTCTTTTTTTTTTGTGTGTGTGTATATATATTTTCTTATTGTTGTTTTTCCTTATTATTATTCCCAATAAGTTTTTTTGAAAGATTTCTAGAGAAAGAAATAACGATGACTTATATAAACATTATTATATTAAAATACCTAGGTTAATTTTAATAACATTAACCTTTACCAGTAGTGGGAGGGAGAAAAGGAATGTAAAAAATAAAAACAAAAGGGAATAGGTATATGAGGAGAATGAGGGAGAACAAATTATGGGGAATCTGCCTATAATTTAAAAATATAGTCTAAAATACCAAAAGTGCATTTTGATGACTTCCCTGGATCATGAAACCTAGCTTTATAGCTGACATATATTCTTAACCCCATGGCTTAAGAACTGATTTGATTAGAAAAGTGAGACAGCTGGCATCATATATATGTACAAATAATATGGCAGGAGAATTCCCAAAAATTAAAAATATGTTCACCCAGATAATTCTGAATACAACCAGTTCAGAAACATGAATTCAAAAATATTCACTAAAGAGAAATATTCTTTTCATCTGAATGGGACTGACAATCCATAATTGTAAATTTTTTGGTCCCATTCCAAGACTGCTGAATCAGAATCTCCAGAAATATGAAGCAGCAATCTGCATTTTAACTCCTCAGGTGATCCTAATGCAAATTAAAGTGTGAGAACCACTAGCCTGAAAAGATGCCATATCACTTACTTTATGACTTACATGCATTATTTTATTTAACCCTCAAGAATGCCTGTGAGGAAGTTATTCAAAGGTTTTTACAAATGAGGTTAAGAAACTTGTCCAAAGCCACAATGGTAGTAGGAAGCTGCAGAGCAGTCAGTCTAATCAACTTAAGACATTAACTGCCATGTGAGTTGTATTTAACTCACGCTAGTTTTGAACCTCGTGAAGCATATGAAGGCTCAATTCTCTGAAACAAATTCATTAAGTACATTGTGAGTCACATACAACTCAAGTGGCGTGCAGAGTAAAAATTGATTCTAGTGCTGCGTGAGTTGCATATAACTCACCCACAGAAAACAATAAAAAATAACAATTTTTTCATTAAATCAGAAAGGATTGTTTTGTTTTCAAAGTTTTTATTCTAGTTTCATAATAAAACACCATGGCCCCAGGGGAAAAATTTTTTTTTCTAGTGTGGCAGTCAATGTGTTAAACACCAAAGCTTCTAATCATTTTGCAATACTGGTAGGGTCTCTGAAACTTTAGATTTGGTGGGTAGAAAGAATAGAGAGACAGACCACAGACAGACAGGTGTTATCTCACAAGGAGAGACTGTCAGAAAATATAAACAGGTTCAAATTTACCAACCACTTTCACAGACGAGAACTATACAGTCAGGGCATGTGAGCAGGGCAGTTACACAGGGCCCCACATTCAAAAGGGCCCACACTTGGGGCTGAAAGCTCCGTGGCCACCATATTGGCTCATAACAGTCCCACCATTTCTGCCAGATGGACGTTTGGTCTCCCAATTCCCCACCCCCTGGCTCCCAACAACCACTAGCATCCCTCTCTTCTCTCCACCTAGTGACTACTACTGCCTTCAGCTTCCAGCAGGGACCTGAGTGCAAGCATGGCGAGTAGGGGACTGAGTTGGTACTCCCCGAGGTGTCTCAGGGCAGACATGGAGACAGCCACCTCAGTGGATTTGGCACGTGACTCAAGAGGGGTGAGCCCCTTACCCGCTCCCGATCTGGGCACAAAGTTTGCAAGGCACTTTTAAGTCACCTGTCCCCCATGATTTGGGGCAGTGGGCCTATGGACAGGAGAAAGACCTGCCTCAACTTCTCTGTACCCTGGGGCAGGACACAGCATATCAGATAGTGTCTGGAGAAAAACAGAACCTGACAGTTGGCAGGTCATGTGTGCACTAAGTCACAGGGTGGCATCTGTGAAGGTCTGCACTTGCCCTGTGAGTATCCCCAGGTCTGAGTGAGTGTGGCATTACACAGTGGATAAGAAACATCTTGACAGGGAGAGACAGACTGAGGGAGGAAGGAAAAAGCTTTATACTTTTGTACTTTTAACAGCACTTTTTTCGTGCTTTTTGAACAAGGGGTCCCACATTTTCATTCTGTGCTGAGCCTCACAAACTCTGTAGCCAGGCCCGTACACAGTAGATTTTAAGGGTTTTTGAGGGTTCGTCCCTCTTACTTGAAGGATTATAATCACGTCTTTCTACGAAAGGTCATTTGGAAACGTGGTCGAGGCCGGGATGCTGGATGATCATTCAAACACATCCAGACACTTTGCTAGAGCGCTCCATGTCCTGGTTCTGCTATTCCATTCAACTGACCTGTTACACTTTCATTTCACAGATAAGACTGGAGAACTACAAAAGAATACAAGGAAAAACAGTTCTAACTTTTGCCGCATTTATATTTAAAACATGAGGCTTCTGTTTTAATTATGTAAAAACCTTCAAAGGAATCACCTTGGAAACTAAGAGAATATGATCATTAAAATTAGCTAGAAGCAAATATTCTTCAGAGCAGTCAACCTGGCCGCAAAACCTTTTTATTACTTTTGTAGAAGAAATTTCTCCAGTGACCACAATAAACACAAGATAAGGGAAACAAAATGTCCACCGCAGCATTTCTAAAGGGAAGCATAAAATTTGGGTAAAAAACTCATTTTATTATTCATTTAGAAGATTGCATGTTTAATGCATTTAGAGTAGTTCACAAAGGAAATGCAAATTTGTTATAATCACATTTTAAAATGAACCTTCTAATTCCCTACATATCTGTTTTTTGAAAAGGAATAAAGGTGTTTCACTGCAGTAAATTGATATGCCAGATGAAAATGTAAGTTTTTTCTCAATATTTTCTTCTTTTAAATACCATAAGGTATTTGTCCCTTCACGTTGGAACCTGGCAATCTAAAATCAACCCATAAAACTACCAAAAGAGCTTTTCCTAAAATACCATTCATTCTTCTTTTCTTTCCTAGCAAAGAGATGTAAAAAAACACCTGATGCTTTCTTGTAATTTTCAAGGAAAAACATCATTTTTAAAAGGATAGAGGGGAAACCCCCTAGAGAATTTTGGCAGAAATGAAGATAATAAAATAAACAAAAATGTTTGCATATTTGAATTAATAGCTGTAACACAAGAGACAAACAGTACAAATGGCTAGCAACACAAATACCAAAAAGGAACAGAATTTGCTTAACACTGTCAAATCACATCTTAGGAGCCTGAGTACTTCTCCCAGAAAAATGAAAGAGGGAAAATGAACCATTTAATATATGAACACACAACACTTCTCATAAAATGTTGTACTTCTGATCTTTTCTTCTTCCTTGTCCAGGCAAGCGTAAGTTAAGACATATGAGAGAGATATAAGATATATAGGGGTAGGACATAGACATTCTGCAATTTGCTTTATATCCTTATGGCCTTTGACTGAGGGTTTCTGACTTCCAGCTTTCTACTCCCATCTTCATTCTGAGGGAAATATCACCTTGGGGTGCAGGTGGAAGCAGGAGAGTCAGTCTTTTTCCCCATTCCCCTCTCTTGCTCTTCCCATTCCTTGTTTGGACTTCAACTCTCAACGGATTGCATATCTCCTGTCTTTTATTCTCCCCAGTGAAGTGAGCTCTTCACTTACAACTCTCCAGACCCTCATCCTCCATTCTTTCAAGTTGCAACTCTGTCCTTCAAGTATGCCTTTGCTGTTGTCGTTGCTGTTCATGTTTGTCTATCACAACTCCTAGAAACTATGGACAACGCTATAAGCTCTTTTTGCATAAGTGTGTAAATGATACTCTTCGGCTCTACCCAGTCGCCTCCATTCAGCCCTCATCTGTACTGCTTCATGCCAGGTGAGATTAAAGGAAGCACAGAAATAGACTAATCACTATCTAATCAAGACTGGTCTTTACAGACAAGCTACTAACAATCGACCCAAGAGTAAACTAACAGGTCCAAGACATGGCCATCTTTATTCCGCGTCTACTGTCTGCATCTCACCACAATACTATGCTCGCATGCTTTCTGAGAACACATTTTCCTGCATGAGGCTATGTAAAAGTTTATTCTCAAAATGCAGGAAAGAAGGAATTGAATAACTGCAGGCTGAGAATGGTGATTGGGACAATTCACACTTCGGGACAGGACAGGCATACCTTTGTAATTGCAGTGAAGACCTTTTCCAGAATGGCATTGGGCTGAGCAATTTGTGGTCCATTGGCCTGAATGTTGAGGGCTATCGCACAGGGTTTGGCTACAAATCTAAAAATTAAAAAAAAAGAAAAGCAGAAAGTCAGAAATTATTCCTTGTATAGCTGTTCTTAATGCCACCAGTTACACATTACTCAATTGTCCCAATAAAGTGCTGGTAGGATTTTATGACTGTATGTTGTCAATATTCATATCAGTAACTATAAAGCAGACTTAACTGTTTTTTCTCCTTTAGTTCTCAGCAGTAACAGTTAAAAAGAAATCCTTTTAACACATTTAAACCCCCAATCCTCAAATTCTAATGAGACTCAGAAAGATTATCAGATGAAACTATAAGTGTACAAGATATATAAAGAAAACAAACTATGATTTTAAAATGATATAACTCATACTCTTCTGACACATGGCAATAGTCATGTTATATTTTTACTACGAGAAAGTTTTTACTAAGCATCTAACTACACATGCAGAGACAGTGCTTTTGATTATCCCTAGTCATAAACTTGGCCATCTTTATCTCTATAAGCAAAGTGTGCTATATGCAGGCCCAGTCTCTTGTGGCTTAAAATTCTCTGCTTTGGGGTTATTTGTCTCTTTCTCAAGAGGAGCAATGAAGGATGTCAAAGGGCATGATGTCTCTGACAAGTTGAAAAGTCTGAAATGTTTACAAGCATCAGCAGGGCTGTTTTTATCCTAAGCCAATGCGTATGTCAAGAAGAATGGGAAGACTGGGGCTTGTTTCTGGTCGCATCTGCCGTGTGAATGAGGCACTGAAGGAGAGCCAGTGAAGTGCGTGGGCCCCAAAGCCGTGGTGACACCTCTAATAAAGCCGTGTGAAAGAGAGAAATGCATATACAACCTTTAAGAGTTGTTTTAGACTAAATGCTCAAGAAATAACACTCTGTAAATGCTTATTTTCAACAGTGACATTTAACGTTTCTTTACTAGTACAGAATAAATTAATATCTTATGAAAGTATTACCCACGCTAACTCAATGTTGGTCAAAGGTGACAACTGACAAATGTACAAAACACCATGAGTGAATCTTAGATGAAGCTCCTTTAATAACAGGTGGCGAGATTAAAGAACAGTAGACAAAGAATTTTTCTAAAAAGTGAACCTAATGAAATTTACATATACAGTACTGCATAAGATCCTACTGGGTCCTATTTCGAGTAAAAGTGAAGAAATTTATTCAAACAGGAAAATGGAACACTGTACATGTGCAAGCCTAAACCAGGAAAGATATACACAGAAAATGCAATATAATACCTGTTACACCAGGCTCTCTGGGACAAAGCTGGGAAGAAAGAATAATCACTCTTTCCCAATATGTAAATCTTCTAGAAGCTGTAATTTTCTCCAAATTTTTGCATTCTCAATTTTGTTTACTGTAAAATTTTTCTGAGATACATCACCCATGTGCTTACCTTCTTGACAGGAAGTGTAACCTTTTCTTATGTCTCTGGGTCTTCACTATGAACAACAATCACGGGGCTATGCCTGTGGCTACAGTGGTGAAAGGAGGGATTTAATGGGCAATGGCCATAAGGAAGAGTTCAGAACTTGTTTCCTTGACAAAGTTTTCTGCTTTGTGGCTATTTGCCTCCTTATCATAAGGTATAGTGAGTGGTGTGAAAAGATATGAGGTCCAGCGAAGTGAAAAGTAAAGTCAGAGAGCAAAATTAATTTGGTGTAAAGGTGAAAATCAACTCTTCCAGCGGTGTCCTTCTACTCTTCCCACCAGCCTTCCCTCATCTTCCCCACTCCCACAGTCCGGACAAACTGTGTTCAAATTCCCACTGGGACTTTATCATCACCATCCTGTAAAACCTGCTAATCTAATACACAGTCTTCTTTCTTCTTCTAAACAGTGCAGAGTCTAAATGCAGAGGCTGATCATTTCATCTTTGTATACACCATGACGGTGCCTGGACATACACAGGAGGGGTTCAAGAAACTTGGTCAACTGGTTATCTTTGGTAAATACATTTTCACTGTTGCTACTCTGGGGCTGAGTGCAGCTGACAAGTTTGCAGATATCCTCTGTGTGACCCATAGCAACGCGTCGACAGGCAGTAGGACAGTCAAGCAATTTACTCAATAGCATCTCTTTAATAGCAACGTCCTCACCTGGGATATCATTCGCCAATAATTTACAAATGCATTTGGAAGAGTTTTTTCTAGTATTTATTACACAATACAATATCTTATGCCTCCCTCCTTCTCTTTTTAAGTTCCAAACCACATTTTTTAAAACTATTTCTCTAAATTTCAAGAACAAATGCAATAGCATACCTCTCAATCACCAAACTTATCAAATTTTGATAATCAAAATCAAATAAATATGATGCTCTGTAAACATGTTTTTAAAGCAATGCCTAAAGGAAAGGATGGGAATTATTTCTGCTACTATTTGGCTATGGAGTCCTAGCTACAGAAATTAATCTCTGTGCCTCAATCTTCTTACCTGTAAAAAATTATTATAATTACATACATACGTGCATGTGCCTATAGATATATGCATATGTTAAAAGATAATATCACACGGTCTCTTTGACTAAAATCTTTGACACGAGCCACGGGTAGGGTTTCATCCAATAGCATTTACTCACCATGACTTTCCCGGGTCCAGCAACCCACCCAGCTCCACTGTGCCAAGCCATGTGCATTCAACAAGTTCTAAAAGTACCAAGCAAAAAAAAGACCCTTGGAAAAGACAAGGGCCATCAGGTAGAGTAACCACTCACCCCAATTTGCCCTCAGGCCTGGGGTTCCCAACATCATTATTTATGGCATCACCTTTACCGACAAAAGTGTCCCCATTTGATAGTTTGCCACAGTAAAAAAAAAAAAAAAAGACAGACTGGTCCTGTTTGGACAATAAATTGCAGTGACCCTCATCATAAAGCCCTAGGCCTGGTACATGTCCACAAGGAGTCCACACCAGCCGTGAGCTCAGGATCTCAGCTCCTGCACACCTGGCCTCCTCTCAGGGACCGAACCTTTCCAGCTCCCTGATCCACCCTGATGGTTCTCCCGCGTGCTGCAGCCACACTTCCCCCAGGATATTTAGCGTGAGCGTGTGTGTCGCTCTCCCGTATGAATGGCCTCCATGAGGGCAGGACCAGGCCTTAGTGAAAGTCCACATCTCCAGAGCCTCGTATATGATCCCATTTAATCTTCCCTCCATTAAAGGAAGCAGGATTGTCATCAGCCATGCTTTGCAGAGAGGACCAAAGAGGTCAGAAGCCCTTTATAGTTTAAATAGCCCATGGTGGGTATGCACAAATATCAACCCACCTGAATTCTCTCATTCTCTGACATGTTGTGGGCATTCAATGAATATTTAATGGCTGAACGAATGAATGAACAAATCCCCTAAAACACAATGGTAGGTACTGTAACTATCTTTTCCAAAGAGGCTGTGTATCTTAATTCCCTTGGATATCCACATCTGCCCAGGGTCATGTGGGACTCAGAGGGTAGGAGGCTGACCATTCCGATATGAGAAGCCATTTCTATAATTCCCATTGTCCCTATGATGTGATTTCAAAGCTGCCCCAAAGAGCCCTTGTGTAGGTTCCACCAACCCCTTACTCAGTGTTCTCTTCTCAACTTATCCAGTACAGAAAGCCAAACACTAACTTTCTAGTACTTAAAAAACTGCATAAAACAGGCAGGAAAAGCAAATATCAAAGCTCAAATGGGAGAAGAAAGAAAAGAAGTAGCACATATAACTCTTGTCTTCCTAATAGGTATCCCTGATTATATGAAAATATAGAAATGTTGTGTTTCTTCTCCAAAGAAATTGTGAATCACCTCTAGCATTTTTTTTTCCAAGAACGTATTAGATACCAAATAAAACCCATGATGCAACTACTACAATTTTATTACCTACTGTCATGGTCCATTAGAGAAAAACTAGATGTTATTTAAATGCTGGCTGTAGCAGAAATAAATTCACAAAAGCTGTCTTTCACAACATCTTGAGAGGAAGAGAAAGAGCATCAGAGACAGAGAAACAGACAGATGGGGGATGCGGTGGAGCACTTACAAATATAATAGTTGGAAGGAAATATGTATTTTCAAGCTTTGATGGTTACCTCTACAAGGAAATGCTCACCTAAGTACTTTTTTTATCAAAGGCAGCACCACCACCTTCAAAAGATCAAACATCTGTAAGTCCTTTCATGTACTGTATTTGAAAGCAAATTTTTTAAGGATGCAAACTTTGAAAAATCCTAGTCTCAGTTAAAAAGTAGAGAAAATACCTAAGACGTTCCTATTTTCCATTCTATTTAACAACACGTATTTGTATGTTAAACATGAATTAAACATCTCTGCACAAAGTACTGAAGTAAGCGCTGGGCAGTGGAGTGGTGAGAGGTATAGACAATATATGGTGTGAACCTTGAACTCAGAGAAGTTTACAATCTGGAAAAGGAGGTTATAAAAAAATAAATGTTTACATGGTATACGTCAGTGTTCTAATTACTTAACAGTATTTAATCAGCTGAGTCACATGGCCAGGGACTTTTAGTTTTTTCCAACTGTACCATTTCCAAAACTTTTCAAAGATAGTTGGAAGGCTACGATGGTGGTTATGCAAACCTACACATATAATAAATTGTACAGAATTAAATCTGTCTCGCTCTCTCTTTCTCTCTCTCTCTCTCACACACACACATATACACACACGTGAGCACAAGTAAAACTAGGGAAATCTGAATAACATTGGTAGATTTTATCAACGTCGATATCCTGGTTGTGATATTATACAAAGTTTTACAAAATGTTACCATTGGGGATATCTGGGTAAAGTGCACAGGAGATCTCACTGTATTACTTCCTAGAACTGTGTATGAATCTATAACTATCTCAATAAAGATTTCTTTTTTTTTTTCTTTGTATTTTTTATTTTTAGAGATCAGGGTCTCGCTACATTGCCTGGGCTGGTCTTGAACTCCTGGCTTCAAGCAATGCTCCTGCCTCAGCCTCCCAAAGTGCTAGTAACACAGGTGTGAGCCACTGTGCCTGGCCTCAATAA